TTAGTTCCTTCCGTAAACTCTACTTGGCATTCATCATTCTCATCCTAATCAATCAATCAATCAATTGATCAATCAATCAATTATTACAATTAGTTCCTTCAGTAAACTCTACTTGGCATTCATCATTCTCATCCTAATCAATTAATCAATCAATTGATCAATCAATCAATTATTACAGTTAGTTCCTTCCGTAAACTCTACTTGGCATTCATCATTCTCATCCTAATCAATCAATCAATCAATTAATTAATTAATCAATCAATCCATAATTACAATAAGTTTCTTCAGTAAACTCTACAATTGGCACTGAACGTTCTCATCCTAACCTATAAATCAATTAATCAATCAATCAGTCAATCAATCAATTATTACAGTTTGTTCCTTTAGTATTTGACATTGACCATTCTCATTATGATCAATCAGCCAATTAATGAATTGATCATTAAACATGTAAAAAATGTTTTTTTTGGAGAATTGTACTTTTTTTACCTTGATGATTTAATGGGATTTATTTAATTAATTAATTAATTAACCAATCACTCTAAAAAGAGTCTTTAAATTAGAGAACATTTTTAAAACATTAACTAAAATCATCTATTTAATCTAAATAAAAATCACTAAAGCAATAATTAAAAAAAAATATGAAATAAATCAAGAAGTCATGCATGCCATGCAAAAAAAAACTATTTATGAATACTATATCGAAATTTTGAAATAATCATCTAAGGTATTGAATAATATGGAATCCAGGGGGGGGGGTCAAAAGATGGGAAAATATCAAAGGTCTAACCTGAACTTGACCTTGTGAACAGGCACAAACAATTTCTCCCTAAAAATTAAAACAATAAAAATCAAAAATACTTTAAACATACATATAAATAATCGGATGCTTTCCCATTATATAAAATATTCGATTTGCAATGGTATCATCCAACCTTTCGATTGTTATTATACTTTTTCTGACATTAAACTGATTAAATGTTCAATTGTGATTCTCTTTAATGGGAATTGTTGAAATCTAAAACAAAACGATATTATCCTAATTTCTGTTCATTATAAGGATGAAAGGGTACTGTTATGAATTGAACATGCCAGTATTATGTCCAATCTCGTCTGTACTCCCTTTTATTCAGTTGGATCCTACCTGAGGGTTTATTAATGCCTCGAGTCCATACTGTTCACAATCTCTGGTTCCACATCTCACTAGAACAATATTATTATTAATTCACCTTCACATTTACCGTGACCTCAAGATTTTCTTTGACCTTAACTGTACCTTGACCTTGACTTTACCTTGACCCTGACTGTACCTTGACCTTGACTTTACCTTGACTTTGACTTTTCCTTGACCTTAACCTCACCTTAGCCTTAACTTGACCTTTATCTTGACCTTGACTTTGACCTTGACCTTGACCTTGACCTTGACCTTGACCTTGATCTTGACCTTGACCTTGACCTTAACCTTGACCTTGACCTTGACTTTGACCATCTCCTGAACTTTACATTAAATTGACTTTGATTTTACTGTGACCTCGGAATTTACTTTACATTTACTTTGACCTTGGCCTTGAACTTTACTTTACATTGACTTTGACTTTGACCTTGAACCTTACTTTACATTGACTTTGACTTCTACCTTGGTCCTGGAATTGACCTGGACTTTACCCTGACCTTGACCCTAACCTTGGCCTTGATATTATTCTTATCTTGACCTTTTATTAATTAAGTAAGATTTACCTCCATTTGTGTAACATGGCTCTTGACAGTATCCTAATCCTAAAAAAGATCAAATTTTATAATTCAATTTGTCTATTTTATTTATTTGGTCTATAGTCTAGTTTGTTCTATTTTTGTTTAGTCTATTTGTTTGTTGTCCATGTCCATCAGCCGACCCCTTGCCAACCCTAAAGATCCACTGAACAGTGACCACTGGTGACCCTAAGTGACCCCTGGTGACCCTAAGCGACCCCAGGTAACTCTAATTGATCCCTGGTAACCCTAAGTCACTTCTGGTGACCCTAAGTGACCCATGGTGACCCTAAGTAATCCCTGGAGACCCTAAGTGACACCTGGTTACCTTAGTCACTCCTGGTGACCCTAAGTCACCTCTAGAGACCCTAAGTGACCTGTGGTGACCCCTCCTGACCCTAATTGACCCTGGTCACCCTGAGCGACCCCTGGAGACCCTTAGTCACCCCTGGTGACCCTAAGTCACCTCTGGTGGCCCTAAGTGACACCTGGTGACCCAAAGTAACCCCTGATTACCCTTAGAGACCCCTAATGACCCTTAGTCATCTCTGGTGACCCTATGTCACCCTTGGTGACCCCAACTGACCCTATGTGACCCTGGGTGACCCTATATGACCCAAGTTGACCTTAATTGACCCCTGGTGACTCTTCATGACCCTCCATAGAACCATTATGACCCCTGATGAACCCTCTTAACCCCCTAACCCCTCAGGACCCATCAGGCCCCATAATAAACCCTGGTGACCTATGTTTACTCTTTCTAACCTGTTGAAATATTCTTTTGCACAAACATTTCACCAGAAGAACAGGGACCCTGGAGAAAAAAAAACATGTTAAGAGATAAAAAGATAAAGCACAAAGGATTATATGTTAAAAATATGAGAATTGTAAAAAAAGAANCAGTACAGTACAGTACAGTACAGTACAGTACAGTACAGTACAGTACAGTACAGTACAGTACAGTACAGTACAGTACAGTACAGTACAGTACAGTACAGTACAGTACAGTACAGTACAGTACAGTACAGTACAGTACAGTACAGTACAGTACAGTACAGTACAGTACAGTACAGTACAGTACAGTACAGTACAGTACAGTACAGTACAGTACAGTACAGTACAGTACAGTACAGTACAGTACAGTACAGTACAGTACAGTACAGTACAGTACAGTACAGTACAGTACAGTACAGTACAGTACAGTACAGTACAGTACAGTACAGTACAGTACAGTACAGTACAGTACAGTACAGTACAGTACAGTACAGTACAGTACAGTACAGTACAGTACAGTACAGTACAGTACAGTACAGTACAGTACAGTACAGTACAGTACAGTACAGTAGAGTACAGTACAGTACAATACAGTGAAGTAATAACCAGCCAACTATGGCATAAGAAGACGACTTTATAGGCAATACTTAAGATTTTATGTTCTTACAAATAGTTTTACTAGATACTGATCAAATCACTATGGGACTGTTTACAATTGTTGTGTTTAAAGCTCATTGGACTTTTTAAATTCAGAACTTTAGACAATAAGTCGTCTTCCTATTCCAGAGTTGTCTGCACTGCAAGAACATTTTTTGTAAAATTTTCAAGTTTCCTTTTAAATAATAAATAAAACCAAATTTTAGATTTTACTTTAAATGACAGATCGTAAGAAACAATTTCGTCAAAAAAAAACACTTAGTCCAAATATCTTTTTAAAAAAACAGTCTCCTAAAAAATTAAAAAAATAAAATGTGAAAAAATCCTCTAAAAACCTTGATTTAAAACAAATAAATACGCCATTAGATTACTATAACTATGGTATAATATATAGCTTAATCTTCGTCACATTTTATGAGTTTTCAGTCATCTTTACTGTCTCATCCTTTGTGGGTAGCCCTGTATGAGTGGGATTTACATGTATCTGTTGCAGATCCTATACTGATCCACACAATACCACTACAAAGGCAGGGCCCCTCTAATACCATAAAATAGATTGTATTTGAACACAAAGGGCTGATAAAATCTTGGGCGAAAAATATTCTCATTTTGTAAATAATTTTTTTTTTTTTCAAAGAACATCATTTTTTAATTTTAAAATGCACATTATTTTAGGAATAGATTATTCAGTATATCTATCTATCTATCTATCTATCTATCTATCAATCTATCTATCTATCTATCTATCTATCTATCTATCTATCTATCTATCTATCTATCTATCTATCTATCTATCTATCTATCTATCTATCTATCTATCTATCTATCTATCTATCTATCTATCTATCTATCTATCTATCTATCTATCTATCTATCTATCTATCTATCTATCTATCTATCTATCTATCTATCTATCTATCTATCTATCTATCTATCTATCTATCTATCTATCTATCTATCTATCTATCTATCTATCTATCTATCTATCTATCTATCTATCTATCTATCTATCTATCTATCTATCTATCTATCTATCTATCTATCTATCTATCTATCTATCTATCTATCTATCTATCTATCTATCTATCTATCTATCTATCTATCTATCTATCTATCTATCTATCTATCTATCTATCTATCTATCTATCTATCTATCTATCTATCTATCTATCTATCTATCTATCTATCTATCTATCTATCTATCTATCTATCTATCTATCTATCTATCTATCTATCTATCTATCTATCTATCTATCTATCTATCTATCTATCTATCTATCTATCTATCTATCTATCTATCTATCTATCTATCTATCTATCTATCTATCTATCTATCTATCTATCTNCACATTGCACATTGCACATTGCACATTACACAGCCTAGGGTCAACACCATAATTAAATGTGCGTTCCATTTTTTTGGGATTCACTGTACACTTAAGTAATGATGGACAACACCTTGATTTTTTTCCAGAATTTTAAAGGGTTTAAGACTTTGACACATACTTCATTCTTGTAAGGTTCCAACATTTCAAAAGTGTTTGAACTATAAAGTTTGCTTTTGTCACCTATTCAGAATGTGTATTCTATACATATAACACATCAGGAAAAAACAAACTGAAAAAGTTTTAAAACTATCTTCTTTGGTTCTTTTATTTGCATATTTCTTCTCTCAGGCCTAGTGTAGGGAAAACAATTGTTTTGAATTAACAATTTAGAAATACTTAACATATCTCAGATTTTTGTGGAGCCATCAAGAAGTCCAAAATCTGTCCTAAAATATTTTTAAAAAGCGAATCACTTTCTACCACAGGTTTAAGACGGTAAGTATGTAATTTGTATATGTTTAAACCTTTAAGTGGGCGTAGTGTTTCATACCAACTGAGCTCCATTTTGCAGTGTAGCAACCCTGATAAATGCACTGCACTGTTAAAACTTTCATCACTACACAGCACTGTAAAAACCCTGATTGATACACTGCACTGTAACAACCCTGATAAATTCACTGCACTGTTAAAACCCTGATTAATACACAGCACTGTAAAAACCCTGATAAATACACTGCACTGTTAAAACCCTAATTAATACACAGCACTGTAAAAGCTCTGATAACTACACTGCACTATAAAAAAAATTGATTACTACAATGCACTGTAAAAACCCTGATTAAAACACTGCACTGTTAAACCCCTGATTACTACACGCACTGTAAAAACTCTAAGTACTAAACTTGATCCATTTCGACCTGAAATGTTTCATAAACGACATATATGGATTGGAGAAGTCCATCTTGGCTTAGATTTTTGGTACAAAAGTTGTAACATCTGTTAACCTTTTTAACTGGTTTCTATATTGCATCATTAAAATTTTTAAGAATATAAACAAACTGAATAAAATAATATTTCATTACAAAAATATTGATATTCACAAAACTCCCAAACGCCATTTGTGAAACCCAGGTTTTAAAACTGGTTTTCATAACGATACCCTGTCTTAAGTTTTGGGCTCTGAAAGATCTTGGTCGTATAACTGGAACGGAGAAACCCCTGTCATTTATTAAAGATATATACCAAAAAAACTTGTTCTTCTGTTTTTGGGAGGAATTGAAAACAAAACCAGTAATGGCTGAAATTTATCTTCCAGAACAGAAACTTATTCTTAAACCTTGTGTTAATTAATAAGAGTATTCTTAGTTTTTAAACAAAAGCTTAATATTTAAAAATCGATAATTAAGCATAATGTTAAGATTGTGTGAACGAAATATGATTGTAAATGATAAATTACACATTGTTTTAGGAACTACTCTATGGTACACGTACAGTAACAGAATAATTTTAAACAAAANCACAATATACTTCATTTACAGGGTGTCCCACAATCACTAGATCAATCATAATCATTTTACAGTGCATGTCCCACGTGCATTTCCTTATAAATACTTTCCCCAAATTGATCCAGACTGCTACGAAAAGTTGCATCACGTTTCTGAGACTGAGTAGCAACGCCAGTCTTAGCTC